AGACGGAGCCTCAGAATCCTTGCCTCCAAGGAGCCACCCGGTTTAACCCTTTCCAGGACAAATCTGTTTCTCCTAGCAGTCCATGGTATTCTCAATACTCTTCTCCAGCACCACAGCTCAAAGGCATCAATTCTCCTTCTATCCTTCTTGGTCATTGTCCACCTAGTGGGTGGAAATGTGTGAACATGGTCACGTGGTGCCTGGAGCGGTCACGATTGAAGGGGAAGGCAGGCTGAGTGTGTGCTGGCTGCAGCACCAGCATTTGGACAGAGCCCGGGCTGTGGCATGACCTTACCCGGCCAGGACTTGGGTGAGGGAGTTGGACCCATAGATCATCATTCAGGTTAGAAGCTCTGGGGCTTACTGCTCTTCAGAGCCTCACTCATGAGACGGGTTCTCACCAGATGACGCGTTTTCTGGCTGCTCCTGGCAGGGGAGGGGGTGTGGGGGCCTGTTGGGTTGTCGAGTTGTTTGCTGTCGAATTGCAACCAACACATAGCGTGAGTCCAGAAGTGAAGTGACGTGTTGGATGCCGTTGAGTCAGCTGCAGTTACAGTGACTGTGGGCAACAGATCTGAGCCTTCCTGTGTCCTGCCCAGTCCTCACCCTTGTGGGCAGACTTGAGCCCGCTCTTACCATCACTGGATCCATCCCGTCTTTGACCCCCAGCCTTTCCCAGCGGGATGCCCTCTCCTCCCCCCCAAAACTGGCCCTCTTGACAACCTGCCCACAGTATGTGAGACAGTGGCTGCACTCTCTCTGAGACAGATTTGTTTGTTCTTCTGACGGTCCATGGGATACTCAGTGCTCTTCTCCAGCACAGCTCATTCTTCTGTCCTCCTGAATCATTGGCCCGCTTTCAGAAGTAACCTTAAGAGGTGCCTTGGGGTCAGATCCTTCGTGAATAGCCTCAAACCCCAAGAATTCGGAAGAAATAATGGGGTTCTAGACGTGACTGTCCTGACTCTCGTGACAGTGTCCGAGGTGGGGAAGCACTGGTGTCCAGGTTCTAGAGACCCTCCAGGATTGAGAGGATGATTTGTGGTTGGGCTTTGGGGTTGTAATGTGGAAAAGAGATCGTTTTTTGGAAGGTGTGCTAAGGGCTTGTACCCCTTTGAGCGTTTATAAAGTACGCACGCGTTACCTCGCTCCATTCTCACAGTCCCATCCAGTGGGCCGCGGGGCATCTGCATGGTACAGAGACCCAGGCAGCTCTGCCCGAGACCTGCCCACGGCCACTGTTTCGTGAGTGCTACAAGGTGGACTCCAGCCTGTGTTCCTGTCTTGGGACTCCTTCCTTCTGAGAGGGTCCTAATAAAGAGAAAACCCTCCTTGGGGAAGCAAGCTGGGAGGAGACAGGCAGGAATTAATGCAACATAGATATTATTCTGATTCTTGTTCGTTGGGGGGAAAAGAATCACTGATACTCTCCTCAAAGCCCAAAGTTGCATGTGGAGGGAGAAGATTGGGGACTTAGTA